CAGACTCATAGTACTTGAATGTCAGACACGCACACATACGTATACAAAGTACTATTATTATTACTCCCACAAGCCAGCTGATTCCTCCGATCGCGAGACAAGGCTAGCGAAATGGCGCGGCGACGTTGCCGTCCCTCAAAACATTGCCATGTTGCCACCCCGTGCACAATATTCGAAATTCGAACTTGTATTGGCAATACGAATGGCGAATCGAGGAAGTTGGCGTAAATGGAGGGTGGGTATGTACGTACAATAAGGTATGTTCGTTAAAAATATTCTTTATCATTAAAACCATTCACGTTTGGTTGTTGCAGATCATTAACGGAAATTCAAATCGACCAATTAGATACCCCAAAACGAGTTTTGTTAATTTTGATTTTGTGGTTAAACAGCCGTTGCTTCCCAAAAAGAAATGACGTTAAACTTGAATGCATTTTAAATTATTGTTGTAGCCGTAACGTCGAACTTGTCAATTGTCCCATATCAGGTAGTTTGAAGTAAATAGGTTGAACAGCGAGACAAGGCAAAGTAACTTGTGTTAACCAATTAAGTACACCGGTTTCAAACAAGTTCATGGGGGAATATTATGGTAGACTTACTTTTATTTTGTTCTGCAATCTTTAGCTGATAATTAATATTCAACCATTAACCCGTATTTAGGATCGAGAGAAATTTGAAAAATGTTAAAAAGGCTTCAATACCTCCAACCTCGTGACATAACGTAAGCAATTCAATGTCAAATTTCAATTTGTTCTCGTTCAAGTTCATCGCAAAGTTTCATTAAAGCCGTGGTACTGCACACCTATTTCTCGAAGTTGTCCGATGTGAAAGTTAGCTAAAGAAAACAAACCCGCATGTTATTTACGGTTAAACTTAACTTTCGTAATATTTAATGAAATTAAAATATTGTTGTCATTTAACAACTGAGACTGGATTGTCTGAATTCCGTGAATAATTATGTTATCAACGTCACACATTTTGTCAGAAAGTGTCCGATAACCTGGCGACATCGATCGCCGCGTTGCCCCTTCGTGCGTTCCCGAGCGCACGTTGCCGTTCCGTGCGCGGTCCTATTATTATTTATTTTTGTTATGCCTGCTAGTGGCGGCCGCCAGCTTGCATACTTTGCGACACCGTGCAATGCCCGAATGTTTTCGAACTATTGTTTTCGGAACTGAGTCGGTAATTAATAGTCTTGTGAAGATTCGTGGCCTCTTTTTTAGCTGCTGACTAGCGTTACTCAGCGATCTACGTGACTCTCAAAAATGTAATCACTGTCTTCGTAGGAGGTAGCATTGAGATGCTTTTGTTCATTTGTTATCTTCAGCTCCAAATTAGCGCATACATATCACCAACCACAAATTGCTGCAACAATACTCTAAGAGTAATATGATTTATCAAAATTTTTTGTACGTCTGCTGGAGTCATCACCATTTCGATTATAGTTGCGTACGCGGCGTGTCCAACGTAGATTAGCTGTTACATCAGACGCTTCATCAATCTCAGGCTTCGAGTTATGATAGATGGGTGACAGAACGCGTGGGTTTAGCCAGCCCACACATTTTTTGTTCTACAACAGAACTTAAATTGGTATGTCGGTACTTATCGATGTATTAAACTTATTATTGATTGATTACAGTATTATAGTAATTTCTAGAAATTTATTTCCTACATCTCTTAACTGGCGCCTTATTGCGTTTATTAGGCTATCAAATTATGATACTTTCTGACGAAATTGTTGTCGTAAATAACGTTCTTTCATAGATAACTTCTGCCAATAACAAAGAGCGACTGCTCCAACGTTCAGAGTACTTTCATTTGCTTATATTATTAGCACCAATTTGATATCGTGGATTGTAAGAATACATGTTGACACAAAAGCGAAACAAAGTCCGATGTGCAGAAAGTGCCATTTCCTGCTATCGCACCCTTTTTACTGCTGCCAGTTTGCTTTTATGGTCACCACTCCAATTTTCTACTCGGGCTTAGGAGTGGCTAGATTCTTTTCCCTTTTCTCAGCTGATTAATGGTTTTCCAACAAATCACCGCATTTGTTCTTAGAAAACATACAAACGTTTCCATTGTTATCGAATATCGTGACATCAACTATAAAAGTGTAAAATTTTATCTACATCCACAATGTGTATTTAAAGTATTCAACGGTCAACGTTTCCACGAAACAACGCGTTATAAGTTCCATTTACGCCACAAACTTCGTGTCTTCTTAAAGTTCGTGTCGGATGTAATTTAGTAGTCCCAGTTCATTCTTACAACGCCCAGTTTTTGTACGCGTTGGTTAAATTGACACGTGTACGTCTCAAGGTTGCCGATGGAAAACAGTCCGATCTACTTAATATTAATAGTCTGGAAAATGTTGTTGATTTCCACGGCACCGAGACTATGAATACTGATGCTGTCGCTTTGATTACGCCGCATCTACAGGCCTGAGTGGCAGAATAACATAAATAATAGGTGTTGCAGAGGAAAATTATCAACGATATGTACATCCGAAAACTGATAACGTAGCGACTACGTAATATGGGTTATCAACACCGCTGAAAATATAATTTGGTTTATCTGGTTTGTTCTTTACGCGGGACTTCTTTGAATTAACATGCGTTTGTAATTGTAGACGAATCTAACGGTACCGCATACAAAGGAATCTATTTGCAGATTATGTTTGTTTATTTCTTGTTCTTGGACTTACGTCACATGATTCGTCTGTTCAGTATTGTTAGGGATTCTTTAATTCATTCGTCGACTACACTCAGATTTATAAAAAGCCTGGCTTATAATCTTTTCATTACATAAATTATAAAATGCGATAAACAGGTTGTTTGTCAGCGAAATCTTTGCCAATAATCAATAACTTCGAGCGTTTTGGAATGCTGAATTATTTTGCTATATTCATTTGCATAGTTATTCAAGTAGAATTATCTCTGCCAAATCAATAATTTCCACATGACTGAGTGCAAGAAAATTCGTGAACATTATTTGGTTTTGATTTTCTAATTACGACGATGCTATAAATACATGAACTAGTGCTATATACTGGTTAAAAAGTCCGTAGAGTTTAGCTTGTTTATTGAAAGAGGTGGGCTGATGATTGCTTTCACTCACGCAACTTTGTCATCCACTGGCTGACTCATTGATTGCTGCCTCGGCTAGTGTAAACATTGCATTAAATAGCTTTTTTTTTTGCTTTAAACGATCCATTTACTTTAAACACGAGCAACCTATTATCAAGCATAGTATTATTAACTTGGTGGTATTCGAACGGAGAGTAAAGAACGTAAATGGGGCTCTGCATGGAACAGAGTAAATAAGAATTGAAGTGTAAAACAATATGTAGTGACTAGTGCGAGAAGTGAAAGGGAAAGAAAGTATCGAGTGGTGGACCAAGGGGAAATGTAGTTTCTGTTATGAATATTATCGGCCATTCTCGGAATGTTCACTACCTAATTTTTGTGTTAATTTTTATTATTTAAATATTCAAGTATGTATCGTGTAATTATTAAATAATATTACACGATAAAAAACTCGAATACTTAAAAATTGTCACGGAAATTTGGCAGGGAACTAGTCCGAGAATGACGGATGTACGGTTTACCACGCGCCGCACGAATTATTCACCCCGTCGCTTGAAATCATGAAAAAAAAACATCTTTCGTTTACACTTGACAACTAAAAATAACTAAAAAAAAATGTAGGCTGAAATTTTTCAACATAAATTTAAAAGCAGAATGTTTAGGAGCACAAGAACTAGGTGACGTGACGGCTGTCTATATAAATTTGCTGACTTTGAAGAGGGCTTTGATTAAATCAGCCTGTGTCCTTCAACTTATGTCAACTGATATGACTGCATATCTATCTGAACTAGATAGCAAATATCTAAAAAAATAATCGAACATCCTTAGAATAATAACGCATAGAAACCTAGTCCGCACACGCTAAGTGAGGCAAATTGAAGCGCGCCAAAAGGGCCTACACGAGCGGGCGGGCCTTCAGTGCTCAAGGTCAACTTGCACCGCGAACAGATCAAGAATTTTGGCTAAAAATGACGAAATGTGCGGTAAATGAGTAAAAATACGTCAGACAAACATAAAATAGGTACTAACATCACATTCCACAAGGAAGTAACGCGTTTCAACTTGTATTTTTATATAAATATTCACTAAAACCGAAAATTAACCTACTACTAAAACTAGCCTACATCAATTTGATTTTTGCCTCACTTGTGACAGTTCCTTTGATATGAAACTATCATTCTATGCGTTATTATTCTAAGCGAACATCATTGTTTTGTGAGTTCAGTTCACTTTAGAAATGTACCTCAAGTTACGTTTTAAGCTCTACTTTCTTTTACCTAAACTCAAATTAATATTGCACAAGGACTGCTGTTTTTAAGTCTTGTTGTATGTATGCAAAGTTTGCATCTAGAGCTACGAGTATTCCTTTCCAGAGCTGCGACATTTTTGCAGCTTTTATGAATAACCTGTTTTCGCTATACAAAGGCCACTCATATCGAATACGTCAGTACACGTGCTCAACTATATGACTACAATAACATCGTATGTATGGTGGTATGTGTTGTGTAGAGGTTGTAATCGGAAGGGTCAGCCCCTCCCGCGCCCCAGCTGTATCGATCGCGCTACGTTGCCACGTTGCTACTTTCCCCACGACAACGTTGCCAGCTCGTCTTTATTTAGATAAATTATTGTACCAAGAGTCAGACCGTACTGACTGACAACAAACACTTTTATTATTATGACTTGTAGATGTTCTCAGTAAAGATCATGTCATGAAGATCACTTAATATCAATAGTCGGGTCGGGTTCTTCGAAAACGCAACGTAAGTGGATTAGGTCTCTCGTTCGTTTCTGTTACATGTTTTAATAGACTTCGTTGTACAACTGACTGCGCTCATAGTGCTGTGTTTGAAGTCTTACCAGGAACAAGGAGGCATTGTAACGTATAATGAATGAAAATGAGGTACAAGTTATCGAATCGGTTTATTTACGTATGCATGCAATGCATACACTTAGAAGGAACAACTATATGATAGAATAACTTTTACGCAACACTAATAATGTTCTGAGTTGTATTTATAAGACTTAAATACACAATCATATTTCTTATATGCATTTGACTAATTTTCATTTACAAATACACCATTTACGGAATCCAGAGTAATCCTATCGTTTCCTTTTCTAATATGTCTCAGTAAGTTGATAACCTGACTGCGGAAATGTAATTTCTGATCCAGGTCCAATGTTTTGCAGGCTGGCATTAGTGAATCGAAAAAGCAGCGATCCTCATCACTACTGTCAGTACTTTTGAGGTTGGCAAATATCGGCTCAGGTGTTGGTGGTGGCGGTGGTGTTGCGATTTCTAGTTCAATTTCTTCCGAAGATAACGGCTCCTCCTTTTCTACAAACAGTGGGCTGGCATTGACTTTCTGTCTCTTTGTGTCTAAGTAATCGTCATCAAATGAAAATTCTCTCGTTCTTTTAGCGATCCGTTCGTCGTCGCTACTATCGTCGTCAGCATCGTTATTTCTAATGACAAGGAACGTTGAGAGTCGCTTAGCGTATTTGTACTTCTTATTTTGGTTCAATTTCATTTGTTTCAAGTATCGGACGTAATTATCTCTGATAGCACGCCATTTATTCGCTAATTTCTTACCTGAAAGTAAAGAGACATCATCTTCTATTAAAAACAGTTGACTTTCTACACAAAAGGTTTCGTCACCGAGTCCAGTGGAATTTAATGTAATATTTATTAATACACTGTTAATTGAAACAAAACTATATTCACGTCACATATTATCATAACGGAATAATTGCAAGCAACATGTAAAATAGTACTAACAAAGTGCTTCTTTTTCTACGATACTACAACCGTCGAAATTGATAAGGCACGCGCTCGATACTTTCATCCAAGCTTCTTCTTTTGTTTTTCTGCATCTGAACGCTAAGCAGCTCGAATCCCATATCGCTGGATATTTCTTCACTTCTTCTATAAACTCTTCGTTATCGACGAATGAAGGTATCATGTTTTTAATACTAAGTCGTTATGCAAAGTTCGAAATGTAACAAGTTGACGTACTGTTTGCGGTGTACAAATAGTCTTTAAATTACGGAATGTTGAAGTTATAACAACGTAACGCGCGCGTTTGCGTACCGGCTGCGACAAACGGCCGACGCGTCTGAGCCGGGGCGGCGAAATGACGCGCATGACGCAGCGTTTGCCGCGGACGGCAACCAGACGCAAGCGGTTTGGCAACGTCGCGTTGTCGGCGCCAACACTACGTTACGCTCGCATGGCTGGCACGAAGCGTGGAATGTCGCGCATTCAACGCTACAAACGGTTTTTCAAGGAAATATATGTGTGATGTAGATTTCTTATGTCATAGCTTGTATACGGCAGATGACGATATTCACCAAATGAACAACTCATTAGATAGATATATCAACTTTTAATTCTATTTAATTTTCTATGACGAATTCTGTATCCATTAGTATGATTACCAAGTTTACGCCCATTTCACCGTTAGCTCCGACGCAGATCTCATTTATTCCCCCGCGTGACAGTCACGCACTTCGCATTCGACCTACTGTCCACTCGCAAATGTCTATAGAAACGATAACGTTGACCACTTAATTCAACATGTCTGACATTGGCTGCCCTGTAATTTTATTCTTTATCTCAATACACGCCTTATTAACTTTATAAAACAAGTAATCTCAGTCAAGGTTAATTTATTCAAAGCATTAATAACGCACTTATGCGTTGTTATGGTTTAATAACTATGGTTATAAATATAGTTGGTTATATAAGCGTGGCGTATTTCAAGTTTCTTTTTCCTTATTCCAAAGAACATAACGTACACGAGACTTCTACACTGCTCTTCGTTTCTTTCCGAATTAATGTTTTTTTAAACGCCTATAACTTCGCCTATAACCTTTCACAGTTCATAAAATTGTTCGAATATTTATTTATTTTTAGGACATCCAACACGCCAATTACAATTTAGAAATAGTGACGCAGAGACTTTGTACTAAATTGTACCTGAATTAAAGGTTGCAAATGTTGACACGACAGAAAAAAATAAAGAAGTTTATCCAATGAAATAAAAAAAAACTTAATATAAAACTATCCTAAGTAATAACAATGAATTAATTCCTATTATTATATGGGTGATATAACATCGTCGATACTGGTTTACGCAACTAAAATCAACTACGGTGCATTAGGCTGTTTTGGTACACACAATTCACGTCCGGTTCCCCTCGGATACACGCTCCATATACGCTCGTTACCTTTTCGATAGCTCCAAATTTGCTGGGAACGCAAATGCATGCTGTATAAAATAATGAAATTATCTGTGGACGGTAACTAAATCATCAGGTTTGATCTGTTTTTATATTTCTATTAGACGAACGTTTGGCCACAATGTGGCTGATGATGTTACCTATTTGTCCAGTAAATGCCTATTAACTCCAGCTTTGAATAACCCTAAATTGTCGTTTTCGGGAAACACAGATCCCGGCAGTATTTCATATTCTTCCTTCCTTTGCCGTACGCTTCAGGAAGGATGACGCTAAAAGCACTTCGTGCGAATGGGTTGTAAACATGGAGAATTCCGTACTTTTAGAACACCGAAGAAGATAAGTATAGAACTAAATCATAAAGTTCCTGCGGACGCTCTCCGAAATGTATCCAAAATCTGACAAAGAGACCGCTATTTCGCGGTAATTAGGGTACTTTACATACTTAAAATGAACGACATAGAACTTAAACAGAGTTGAGCTTGCATTGGCCACAGACAAGGCAGTGTAAGCTATCACAGAAAGTGCTAGCTCCATATAGGATATCCATCATATCTACGGGACGTGTACAAGTAATATATACCAATTTATGCGAAAACAAGTTTCAGCGTACAAATAGGATGAGAATTATCACGCAACATTTTAATTTAAGGTCTTAAGTTTTTCTCAAATTAAACTTTTATAGGAGTTAAGTTGCGCGAGATAAGTTGCGTTATTATACTGCGCAGTTCCGGAGATCTTAAACGATAAACTACATGTTCCGAGTTTTAATTGCTAAAGTTAGACTTATTGCGATGCCGATTTGGCTCATCTCCTTCCGCTCTTTAAAAAAGTTAAGAAATACACTAATAACACATTCACGTGGCCTTCAGTTTTTTTTTTTCAGAATTCTGTTACCGTCCATTTTTTATTGAAAAGAATGTAGTTGAACGTTGTAGGTTGCAATAATAATAATAAGAATACATAGACAACAAAAAATTACACCTAACTCACGAGAGAAATAAAATGTAGGCCATACAAATATTTCTCCTGGCCCGGGAATCGAACACTGGACCTCTGCGTGGCAAATCAGGATGGTAACCGTGGTAAACCACGGAGCTAGTTAAATAAAAATGCTGTGTTGTTGTATGCAGCAATAGACCCCTGTTGCCTTGACCTCCCCCTACATTAGAGCATTTGCTGAGTATCTTCTACATCAGCTGACCATATTGAAATGTCCACTCATGGTCACCTGTGTCCAGTGATACCAAACCAAATATACTAAATCAAAGAAATACAGTATTAAATTTTGTCAACCTTATATTTCAATATCAAAAATCAACGTAGAAAACCATACACGAACAAAAGAAACATTTACTGCGCACTGGAATGGAAATCTCACGCAGTTATACTCAAAATAAACATGAATATCTACATCATAGAACAGACAGTAGATAACAACTGTAGTCGCGTATTGTTCAAGGTTGCCTGCGAAGTTGGCTACAGCGACAAACAGGTCTTTGTCGGAGTTCTTTTGAGCCGAAGACAAAGGCGCATTACACAAAGCTGATTTGCATTAGATCAGGGGTTCGTGTTCGGAACCGATTTGTCAACTAGGCTTCCTTACAATTCGGGATCAATAACCTTAGATGGTTGCGTCATTAACAAAAGTATAGTTTACTTAATACTTGCAATACATACAAAGGCACATCCGTCATCACTCTCAAAACTTTTCAGGTGCCTCTTCAAATTGACCAATGCTAATTAGAGCTATCATATAGTCGGAATAAGTGAATAAATAGAACTTTACCTCGACATTGAAATATTCTATATTAATAAAGAATGTTTTGTAAGTTTCTCACAGGCTCTGCAACAAGCAGATAGAGAAATTAGTAAAATCTGTTTACTCGATCTGTGCTCAGTTGTGAGTAGCAGTAGCGCTCCTTGTGAAAGAGTTCATCCAGGGTAGTACTGCCACCTCACCTATTTCTTCCGCCAAGCAGTAATGTCAGCATTACTGTGTTCCGGTTTTGAAGGGTAAGTAAGGGTGCTGCTGAAATTACAGGCATATGGGACTTGTGAACGTATGTCTCAGGGTGACGGGTGCAGTGGCAGTGTCAAGTCTTTGCAATTTAAAGCTCTGAGTGGCACTGCAATTGTTATGGATAGGCGTGTAGCTTACCATCAGGCGCATAACTTGTTCGTGACGTCACTTAATTAATATTATTAAAAAGTTAGTAAGAGCTGTGTCCCCGGTGTGGCAACAGACGCCGTTTCTAGCCCAGTCAGATCGAAGGGATTTTTCTTTGTGTTATAAAAACATTATGATATTCAACTATATTTTATTATTGCTAGTTGCTACAGTCAGTTTGGACAGAAATGACAGTTCCTCAAGTTCGAAGTAGAACAAGTTGGTTTTGCGTTGTTTTTCATAATTGTTGCAATTCCTTAATAATAGTTGCACGACATTGTCATCGTATTGCGATGCGCATGACGCTCTATACATACAAAGACGTAAAAATACAATGTCTAACATTGTGTAGTACCAACTTGTACCTAATGACAAAACACAGCAATTGTTAAGCGTAGGTCTGCAGGGTCATTGGTATTAACCCATAATAATACATCATTCAGACGCTCGTTCATTTGTTATGAAGTACAAATTGCAAATTGTCAATTTGCATTTTGTACTTGTAAAAACCTTGATTTTCAGTGATTGGCAAAACCGTGCTTGATCCCTAGACCATTTTTAATGTGTGTACATAACGTATGTACTTACACTGGGTTCAGGTATATGCTTCCTAACGTCTACAGACGCAGTATTCTTATGAATAAGGTGGTTTGCATTAATATTAGACACGGTTGATGACTAATACCAACTCAGTCAAGCGTAACCGTGAGTGAGATGTATAAAGAGCCAGAAACGTTGTTTGTTTGAAAAAACAAATCTTATTTTTTAGAATCAAAGAAAAACGCAAATAACTAATTATACTTTTTATTCATATTATTTTAAAACAGACAGGTATTTGGATACTCTTGAAGTCTGGACTGTAAGGCTGGACATTCCCAGTGATATAGATCCTGAGGCAAATTGATTTTTATTGACTGGGCGCATCCATATACTTGTGTATGGTAATGTCTCATAGACAAACTTAAACGGACATCCCTAAAATCTAAAATAAAACTACGCTTAAACATATAAAAACTGTACGACATTATTAATGTATTATATGACGCTACTAGTTATATTGCGAGGGTATGTGAATGACAAATGGGTAGTGGCCAACAGAAAAGCGAGATATTCTGCACCGAGATTGATAGATAAAATCGTCAAATTCAGGGGTTGTAGATGGCTCAGAAGCTTATACCCAGCAGAGGTTGAAGTGTGGCTGTCGATGATTAAATAAATATAAAATAATCCTCTAAATTTGAATAGTTCTCAGAGTTTGGAGAACTATTCTGAATGTTGTCTGAAACTGTTACTAGATCTAGGTGCTGTATTATTGTAATGGCATTCGACTGCTTCCTGCATCACGCTAGCTATATGAGCACGCGCCCACATTTTAATATGAACTGGTAATTGCCTCATTTCTGGTACAAAAGACACTAAAAATTGTTTATCTGAGTCCTCATTGTCCTCTAGATGTGACAAATGAAACATTGGTAATTCGCCGTCTACATTATCACGCAAGTTGTCAACTTCGACTTCAATGCTTTGACGTTCCTGTTTTGTTTTCCTAGTGTATTTCCTTTTTGGTTTCTTCTCCTGTGTCTGTGTGAGAGGATCGTCTGTGCTATTAGTCTCCTGGTATACATTGTCGCTTTGTGCATCATCTCTGTGGACAAAACCATAATTGTAACTTAAATTTCTATTAATGACAATTTGTCCATGTTTGAAGTTGGTAGTTATTTTCAATAGAAAACCTTGACATTCAACTAATGCTACTGATTTGAGCTGAACAACAAAAGAACATACATACTATTTGACAAAATGATTGCCGTCACGGTACGTGCTTGTCGACCATTCGTTTATTCGTCGGCACGTATTCGTTAAGTAAATTACCGAGCATTCGTTAAAATTTAGAAGTCCTTCATTACAGTACATGCATTCAAAGGTGGCACTTAAATGTACGCTTCACGGATAGCCTGTGTCAGGCAGAGACTATAGATCTCCAACTGCTACACTCCTGATTTACAAACGTAAAACCACTCCAGTTCTTGTAAATTTTGACCTGACCTTTTATGAACACTACACTCTGACTACGCCGAGGTCAACCTTTCCTCACGTTTCCATCTATAAATTTGTGTTTTTGTTATACTTACGTATATAGTATTTCGGCTGCAGATATTAGTGTAATGTTATATCCTTCTAATACTAAACCGTCACCATTTTATAAACCAAGAAATCATAGACATTCCTTTATTGTATGTACTAAGTCAAACTCATGGTACTACCACGATTTCGTTTAACTAAGGTAAACAATTCTTTTATGGGGAACGTTTTTACAATAAGATTTCGTGATGTATTAACATTATCATTTCCTAAGTTTAAAACTTACATTAAAAGTATTTTAATTGAAAAGTTATATTACAAAATGGAAGAGTACGTGTTAGATAAAGATGTATGGAATGACAACATGAATATAGATTCATTACAATTATAATTCAAAGTGTATATATGTATTCCATAGCATTTAAGTTTATTTGAAAAGAGCAATCGCTAGAGTTTCGTGCTCGTTCTACTCAGGGAGGTCAGCGTGGTGAACGAGAGGTAGCTTAAAAAATGACGTTTTCAAGTGTAATGATTTTACCTTTGGCATAATTGATTATTTGACTTTGACTTTTTAACCGAGTTCAAAAAAAGGAGGAGGTTCTCAATTCGTCTGTATGTTTTTTGTTCTATGTATGTTACGCGATAACTCCGCCGTTTGTGAACCAATTTTGATGATTCTTTTTTTATTGGAAAGAAGGTACCTCAGATGGGGTCCAATTTACACTTCAAGAAAATATTCCACCTCTAAGGGTGGCAAACTAGGGGATGAATGACTTTTGAGGTCGGTTTTTTCAACCGGAGGTTAGGTTATGTGATAAGGTAGACAAATTTTTAAAAGGTCTTTTAGTACACACAAGTGCGACAAAAAGTTGTATGTCACAATTGTTCAAGGATTTGTTTGTTTAATATAGAACAATATTTATCACCAGTTCTCGTTTATCATTCAGATAAAAGACAGTGAAGGTAAAGACTTATTTGTTCAGGACATGTTAAAGATGAAGGTTTAAAAATACTGGCGTTCAAAGCCGATGCCTTCATTCACCATAAAATATAGTACAGTCTAAATACAGCTACATAACCCACAAGTAAACAAATTTAGGCCGCTATTCTTAAAAAGCAAAGGTATTGTAGTAGCTTTTGAAACACTCACTCTTCACTAACAGCAGCGTTATTTTCATAACCCTCAAATCCTCCCAAGAAACTCATATGCTTGAAGTATCGGTAGACGCGTCTCAGAGTCCTCGTTCCCGTGCGACGAAACCGCAACTCCCTGTTGTATGCGTCACGAAGAGACCGCCATTTTCTCTGCAGTTGCAGTACTGTAATTTCACTTGATTCAATTGGTTGACAAATAAGCGTTCTACTCAGTTTATATACGTCCAAATCCTAATCACGGATAAGAAACTAGTGAGACTATGAATGGTCACATAAACGCATATAGTAAAATCACCGCATATCTCCTTTTTTTCTTGAGTTTTGAAGTCCCAATTGGGGCTGAATATTATAGGCAAATGTTGTGTCATTCATAAACCTCGATTATAACACTAGGGTCGGCGGACTAAAGCACTTAAGTCAAAATCCAACATCATTCATTTAAATTAATACATCTACCAGTTAATGCACATAATAAAAATGAAAATAAATTAATTTCGTGGTGGGTGGGTCAAATTAATTTACTTCCATTTTTATTAACATGGACTTCCGCAAAGTAACGCCTGAATCTATTCATTACTTAAAGCACACAAGTAAAATTCATTTGGTACTTCATAAATTTGTAACTTTATTCTAGAGGCGTCTTTTTCAAATTTATCATTCTCTTCACATCTTCCAACACTATAAAAACACAAAAAATATATATCATTATGTACAAATGAAGCACTTTTTTGACTTTTGTGCTTTAGTCCACCGACTCTAGAATAATGCTCAGAAGCTTTAGATGTGCCTAATCTCCAAATTCATCTACGAGGTACCTAAACCACTTAACTCGAAGAGTCAGTCTGGCGTTCAGTGAACCTTCCTATATTATACATTCCTCATGTCTCCAGTTCTAAGGCTCAGTGTTACTTTTCGAAAATGTATAGGATTTTACGTTTGAAGCCAAACGTCAGACTGATTTTCAAATTACACGGTTGGGAGACAGCCCATGTTACTCCAAAACAGGGTTTCTCCAAATAAGGGTTTATTTCGCCCGAGGACCCTTTATTCTTAACTTAACGCCGAAGATAAAAGTGGGACTTAAAAAATCTGGAGATAAACTTACGTCCATGTAAGTTCCAATGTTATAAAAAAACAAAGCAAAAATTGCATGTCAAACAGTTGATGTTGAAACAGTTGTCATCTCCAGTTCAATCCACATTATATAAAAATTTTGTATAGGTGACTTTGGTCGTTAAAAAATGTAAATGTTTATTAAATATTTCTATTTAAGTGCCACTGTAATCTTACCTCGATCGTAGGCCGTGGCCTTATTACAATGTCCCCAGTCTGGGTAAATGGCCGCAGCTACTTCTTTCCACATCTCCAACTTTTCCTCCCTCTCTATCGGTCGGGTGTTGTCGAACAAAGCAGGACGTTGCTTAATTTCCCTTATTAACTTTATGGGATTATAAGGGTCACTAGAAATCTCGTTAAATGGATCCATATTCAATAGGTTATGAAGAAATCCTACTCTCAAACGTTACGCGATAGCTTTTAGATCTCTGGAATTTTCAATTCTAACAGAGTAAATAAAGTAGGTCCTTGAAATCAATGTCAAAGACGTGCGATTAAGCCGAGTTTATAGAGCACCGAAACACTGAGTCGCAGGCCTTGCGACTGCCGACTGACGCACGGCGGCGCGGCGGTCGCGCGACTATGCGCACGCAGTTCAGTCGCACGTGATTGGTACACGACTGAAGCCACGTGTACACGCGATTGGCTAGCGCGACTGCATTGCGACTGCAACCTCCACCTATTGTGACTGCGTATTTTATGTCGTAGTCGAGGAGATATGTTTTATCTAATCGTAAACGTGGACTCTAATGAGATAACAGCAAAAACTAACACCATATTTGCTAAAACAACGCAAATAAATGACACCAAAATGACACAAGATAATCGTCAAAGATTACGTCAGAATACAAAATAGTCGTGTTGATTGGACCATAGACATGTAACATGTTTTCGTTGATGCCATTGATTGCTTAGGTACATATTATACCTACTAAGATTATCGTGACGCAACGAAATAGCTACCTATCTTGAAAGATATTTTCGCTTTAGTTTCAAAGTTTAATATTGTAGAACGTGCATTTTATAGCTCAGTAATAACCGGCGACGTTGCCAAACCGCTATATTATCGCTCTTGATGCACTTTCCTTGTATTCGAAATTTTATTTCTTGGAAATGGCTCCGAATGTTAATTGCTACTGTTTTGAACTCTGCCCTCCTTTCAATTAACGGCAAAGGCTTAAAAGCTCTCTCACACCGTCCAAAGCCGTTTCTATACTAACCTTTTTGTGAAAAAATTGAAATAAAAAAATACATTTGCGATATAGCGACTGAACTGAAACGTAAGGTGAGATAGGTAGGAGAGGCAGAGGATGGTAAGATAGTAAGAATGATATAGAAAGCGGCCATTTATCCGAATAATGTGCCATACAAACGTTGGTCGCAAACAATAAACCTCCCTGTATTGCGAGTAGGTACCAGATGGGGCTACTAAAAACATCCAAACCAGAATCTGTTCAGAAAAGTTCATTTGCCAAATTGTCACAACTGGGAATCGAAAACGGAACCTCTTCAGCTAGCGTCCTTAGTGCTAACCACTAGGCCGCGGAGGTAGTGAATACATGTAACGAAATGTCATGTATTAGAGTATTTTCTGATGTTCTCTCAAAGCTGGATAAGTATCTATCTACCTGCAAAAAAAATTAAATCGTTCTTCACAACTTAAAAAGCAGTAGATCACGAATAGGTATTATAGCAACATAAATCGACTATTGCACTCTAACCATATCTGAATAGTAAAAGTATGGTATGTATTCGAGCGGGAAAACAACTTTAATTATAGCTTAGATTATACAATTTATAATTTAATTCGTGTCCGTAACGCCTGGGTACAAAATATTGATGTAGGTATAAACGTGGCAACGTTGCATCGCCTGGCGCGTGCAACGTTGCCGCTCTGCGCCGGTACCGCTATGCGACGTTGCCGCCCCGACCCACTTCCAAGCGGCAACAGGCGCTCCACTCCGACTTTTTCACGTCGCTAAATTGGCCGGGTTTGTTTAGGTGTGTTATCTACCTACTCACCCACCTAAAAACAAATAGTGTAGGAATAAAGCTACGACTGATTACTCCATTTATTTTGGAATTGCTCTATTCAAATACAGTGGCATGCACTTCCACGACTTCCTACTTCGAAGTTCTTAAAATCTGCATCACACTTGAATAGTTTTAGCATGCTGTGTCCCGCTGTTACTAGCGATGGCGGGCTGAAGCATGCGGTATTTCGGTGTTGCCATTTTAAAGAAGAATCGCTCTTTTCTTCTTGCATTCACTTATTAGATCAAAATCTCAACGGAACGGAGTTTTTTTTATCAGGGCATCTCATTTATATTGCGTATTTCAACTTGTAATGGCTTCAACGGCCCATTAAGACACGCACACGTAACACATGAACATCGTACTATATAAATGGGGGTATCTCACTGTATTCCTATTTTTAAAACGCTATTATGAACGGTAATCGTAATCTTAGATGGTGATAAGAGGTATAGGTAATGTGCTCAACACACGAACAATGCTCGCGAGCTTAATGACTGATCCTGATAAAACTAAATGTTATTCGTTAGAATTGCTTTGGTATTCATTATGTAGGTACTCTTACACAGAATATATTTTATTTTATTATAACATCAAGTGACGGAACGAACAAGTCGTGCGCCTGATGGTAAGGTACACGCCTGTCCATAACAGTTGCAGTGCGACACTCGCAAAGATCTGAGAGGCACTACCACTGCGCCCGTCACTCTGAGACATAAGTTGACAAGTGTCATGTGCTTGTAATTTCACCACCACCCTTACCCTTCAAAACCGAAACACAGTAATGCTGACATTACTGCTTGTCGGCAGAAATAGGTAAAGTGGCAGTACTACCCTGGACGAACTATTTCACAAGGAGCTCTACTGCTTCTAAAACATAGTATCTACAGTAGAATAACATAGTATCTAAAATTCTACAACTAGATAACTACCAACACAGATAATATAATACAATATCTACCAGCTACAAGTACCAGAGCAACGAAATTCACTCTGATAAATATCAATATCCAGAATATCCAAACTAGAACCAATTTAGAAAGTTTGATACCTTAATTGGCCCTACCGGGAATCGAATCGAACTCATAAGAACCACTGCCACTGGCCGAACATACCAGAACATTTAATTTGAAAAAAGAATGTCTTAAATTGTCTGTTGCTTTCGGTTAAACGTTTTGGTATAATATGTGACCAGTAGTAGCTCATATGAACAGCGTTTGGCATCACAGAAATCTAAGCCACGTTATCATTATTTAACTTTTTTTGTGCGTTCCTTTATATATTTACACAATTTAAGGACATTATAATGAATAATAACATTGGCCAAGGGCTACAAAACTTAGAAAAAGAAGACGAACAGAATAGCACTCTGTTCATCATTCCTTCACTCCCTTATGTATTTCTCTCTATTATATTTTTCTACCGCGCATGGCATAGCAGCGCTACGCATTTGCATATAATGAACTTGCTATACGTATGCAGTTTTCGTGCCACGAGTACAATGTACGTCCGGCGGCATTGTCGGAACTGCATCTTCATGCATGGCTTGCGACTGCGCCAGCTGCAGGGGTGCCAACATTTACAAAATAACAAAAAAAAGCACGTGTTCACACGCAGCATGTCTGGTGCAAATGTGTGCAGAACGGATTGTCGAACAAAAGATTTTAATTTACAAAATGTATAGAATGTCAGCGTCATTCAATTAATAGATGTCTAATAATCTATTCGAAAATTGAAATCAGATTTGAAATCTACCGTATTATTATGACTTTAAGTAAATATTGACTGTCTATCTTGAAACATTTATTGGACGCATTGGTCGTTGACCTGTGTGTACCGCAGGGACGCTTCTACAACTTTCACTGTTCATGGAGTTCGTAGAAAATTCCAGAGATTCTGTGTAAAAAGAAGAGCATCAAACTTTCTCGTTGCTGCACAATTTTGATTACAAGGTCGCGGGAAATGCTTTGATGGGTAGAGGTGTACCATTTATATTTCTACTTTTTTCGAGCCAAATCGATGTCACCGTTTTCTAACAAGTCACCAAGCACACGACTTGTTCGTCCCGTCACTGGTATGTTAAAAAGAAAAATATTTAAGGTACATACCGCCACATTCTCTCCGGTAGATACATTAAAAAATGTAATAACTTAGGTAATTCCAGAAAAACTTATTTTTTTATTTACTGCCTAAATATTTTACACAAATGTTATACCTGAATAATACCTACTCAAAACATTCAAAATGTATACTACTAAGCGTTTTATAAGTAGTTCTGGTCCCCACGTAATTATTATATCGATGCAGGCCTATATTTACCACAAATATGAACTAAAAGTATTCATTCTATACAACAGTAACTACTTCAAAATATGTAACCATTACCTTTATAAAACACCTTACGACGTCATTATTTAACTACAAAAACGTAATGTGCAATAATAAACACGTACCTATGACAGTTCCATTACAAAAATGTTAGTAAAGACTCGTGGTAATTTACATTTAACCGTCGCGTCTGTCCTCCATCTATTCACGGTAGTTGCTCGTTTTAATGGCGGGCTACCGTTCCAGACAGACTGGCGGGACAAATAAGTTGTGTTTTTGTACTTGACCGACACCAACGGAGTCCCTGATTGCTAAAGGATATTCGCACTTTCAATAACAAGTAAAAAATATACATATCGGTGTTGATATCAAATAGAATTTAGTCACATTTGGCTGTAGTCAAAGCCATACATGGCTTATATTTTTGTGAATTAGTACGATACTGTGGCAGTATCCCAAATTTTTTTTATGACAAACAAGTCGTGCGCCTGGTGGTAAGCGACACGTCTGTCCATAGCAGCAGTAAGTTGACAAGTCCCATGTGCCTGTTATTTCACTAGCACCTAGTACTCTTCAAAATTAGAGCGGGAGAAATAATAACGTGGCAGTACTTTCCCACTGTACTGCACAAACTCTTTCACAACGAGCTCTACAGTTTCTAATTATTTACTTTTCGTTTTATGTCATTTTATTATTGAGAGTGAGATTCGAAGTCAGATAATCGTATCAACAATAAAATCGAGTTCTCTAAACCCAGTCTTAAAAATGAATGCGTAAAATCGGAAAAATACATTTATTGCTGGGTGTGTCATATTTGTAATTTATTGATTGTACTCAAATGTACTGCATAAATCGTTCCAATTACAATTTACGACAAGTCGCTCCAATAAATCAAACAACGTTTTTATCGAACAATATTTTTTATTTAGCAAACAAAGAGACTTATGAATTATCGTGACCTATACTAATGTTAATAAGTGAAAATACTAAAACGCCCCGTCGACGACCTTATCGAAGATTTTTAAAATCTCAATTTGTACTTTCAATTTCTTATTTTGTGGCATACTCTTAAACATAGGTGCTAAAGACATACAGAAATTCACATCCTGATCTAGTACTTCAGTTTTTTGGTTTCTGATATACTGTAAAGGATCTAACATGACTTCCTCGTAAACAACTTGACTTTCTCTTTTCTTATGTCTTTTTCTCGGCGTCGGTGGTTGCGGCGAGGGCTCGAAGTCTTCATCAGAGTCTTCTTGATTTGAATGTTCAGTTTTTATATGAGTAAATTCTTCATCCTCTAAATACTCAACTTGCTCTGCTTCATCTTCACACTCTTCTTGTCCACCGTCTTCCTCATCGTCATCGTTCCAATCGCCAGGAGACGGTTTCGGTATATTCTCAAAGCCATACGTTTCAGGAGAAATGCCTGTACCAAGTAAAAAGTACATGTGGTTAAAATAGCGATATTTGCGCACGTCCTCTTGATTGCCAAGATCATGTTTTTTCTTCATGTCTCTTATGAAACTCGTCCTCAGGTTGCTCCATCGCTTCTGTAGAGCCAGTACTGTGAACAATCAAAACATGAATAAATGTATCGTAGCTGTATTGGCAAATATATCAACTTAACGGGCAGTCTACAGTGTATAAAACCCAGCAAACTGACTGGCATTCGTAAAAGTGGGTGGCAAAGGGAAAAAATACATAAACAGACATAAAACAATTTTATACTATATTTTATACGCCTTTGCAAAAAATAGCTTTTACTAAAATTCCAAAACATTTCACTGCTGCAAAAATAAATTATACATATTTCGACACTTACCAGCCCTGTGTTTCTGTACTTTGTTCCATTTGCTATAGTGTTTAATAAGAACGTTCATGCAAACTTCATCCCACATTTTCTTCTTCAACATCAAGTTCGAATATTCTTTCATCGATTTGTTGTACAGGCACGGCCTGAGCTCGATTTCTTTGATAAGCTTAACATTGTTGATTGCCACATCTCCTGGTAACAGCGGCGACATGTCGCCTGGAGGCATATGTATATCGTCGCGATTGTCCGTTCAACGCGACGTGCGACGTGTAACGACCGCGAACTCAACGGAGCAACTGCGGGAGGGGCGAGCCGACATCGACTCGACAATCGTGCGCGATCGTAAGTTCTCGTGCCTTGCCGCGCGGGAAGTTGATTCGCCGCGTTGTAAGCACGTGCAAATTTATGTTAAAGTAAAGACGCGCTTTATTTAATATAGAAAATTTTCCACGCTATATTGACTTGACGTCGATACATACAATGAAAACGATCTGTCATCAACAAAAAAAACTTTAAAGTTGACAACGAAACCAGAAATCGCTTAGCTGACGTTTGACACGATTTAACACGCAATAAAAAAGGTAGTCGTCTTTTACATGAAGTCTTATTTGTTGGAAAGTAAGTAGGTGCCTGCCTGCACAATCACAATCGTGACTCAAACGTACGGAATATAGGTACCTACGTATAACTATGTGGATATTTTTATAGGGAGGAGAGGGTAGAGAAAATAAAATATCATTGAAAATTTCTTTTACGTACCTACTTGCTACTTGCGTTCCTCAGAAGGCTTAAATGATATTTTGAGAATGACATGCAGTTTCAGTTCAACCTACGCAAACATTAGTTTGGATATGTTAGGTATTAAGTTTCCCAATGTAATAATAATAATCCGGTGTGATCTCACAACTCTGAATGTGAAGTGCTGAATCAGTGCGACGTTGCCGTTCTGTACAGGGCAAGGGAGGGAGGTGTTGCCGCATCGACGATACGTTGGCGCCACGTTGCCGCTTGGTGCGTGCGGGCGCCACGCGATGTTGCCGTTCCGCATGTCAACCGTAAAAATACCATTCATTCAATTAGTGTGTAACATTTAATGGATTCGATGAGCGACTTTGTGCAAATAAAAATCTATAATGTACGTAATGCATCGTACCGATGTTGCTGTTTGTTGTTTTGGTTGCAACAGTTGTGCTAGTTTGTAGGTTGGTTTAACTTCAATCACACGCGCTACGCGCTAACAACGACGATTTTGTCACTTAATAACTTTTATTAAACAGAAACTTGTCAAATTGTCGTGGTTGTCACTTTTATTGGCCCGGTCTGGGCAACGATCAATGTTATAAACTCAACAAGATTTTTCCTCTGATGATTACACAGTTTTGCCGTACCAGGTTATGTCTGCCATTTGGGCCGATGTGTTGCTAATGGACCGGAATTCTGTCGATTGCACAATTTCCGTACCCACCCATCCCTTGTCACCATCCCGTATCTCGCTCCCTGAGTCCTTTTTAGGTCCGTAGTTCCACGGAATGGCTTTTAAACCCGTTTTAGTGGATTTTCTCCTTGCGTTTGATTGGAGTTGGTACTCCTATCCAAATTCGGCGGTAGCGGCCTCAATCATACTTTATACGCAATCTGACAATAAACTTCGGCTTTACGACTGAAAGAAACAAATAGCAAGCAGCCATAAAAACAGGCTAACAATTCTGTAGTCGTGACGAGATCTGAAGAAAAAATGCAGGGAGACTTTTTTATAACATTGCTGTATGCATATTTCATTAGATTCGCTGATATAGCGCAGAACTATGTACGCGAGAGCGAGCATAAAATCTTAATAAACTACCCTCGTGGCAATTTATAGCCCAAATCTGAATATCCTCCCGACCAGAGCAAGAATTTGGGGTACATTTTTCTCTATTATAGCCTTGCATTATCCTAGAAAATAACACACACAAAAAAAAAGATTACTAGTATTTTAACAAACGAAATTTAATCTTGCAACGTTTTTGTTTCAGGTAAACACAATGCGTAGTATATATAGAAAGTAACAGTGGAACGGTATGGTTATTATTACAGTTTGCAAATAACGTATGGACTTTTTGGTGCCGATAACAGATGTTTCGCAAAGACAAATACGCTGTACTGAGTCACAAAGCACGGACGCGCTCTACTGTGCACGACTACAAAGAGTTCCATATGTAGCCGTGAGTGAAAGGAAACAATTATGGACCCGAACCGCTCCTAGCAAGAATTTTAATACACCGAGATGCCTTTTTTAACCGCGTCGTTTTGTATTTCCGAGAGCTATCGAGGGTAGAGGACATCGTGGCCATGCTTTTAGACGACATTCATTATACTCTGTAAACTGGCAACCGGTACTGTCTCAATTTTGGCAATTTTACAGGATGACGAAAAGAGTTGTTTGCGTCATTTGCATAGCATCTGTTTAGAAGTTACTACGAGTTGAATGAAGTGGATTCTGGCGCCAAAATTAAATGTATCGGAGATGGAATTTCTTGCAACGCTGCGGAGTATGAAATAGTATAAAATGATATTAAAAAGCAAAATCTTTAGAAAATTGAGATTAGTACCGGTTGCCAGTTCACAATTCACAGTCGATATGTATAAAGAGCTACAAGTTCTTAATCACTTAGAGAAATAGAACGCGTACGTCCCGTTATGGTAGAAAAATGCTATTTATACCATTGTACGCAGATTGGTTCCAAAGCGAAGAATCAAATACGGGATAATCGGAATGTGGAAAATATAATTATATATTTTCGCTGTTAAAAAAACCATCACCAAAAGTGCGTGGAATTTCATCTATTTGCCAAGTTTTATTGTAGTCGGTTAAAGGAAAGTGCGCGAAACCGTAATCATCCCCTAAACTAGGCCACCCTTAGAGGTGAAATATTTTCAAATTTAAATGGGACGCTCTTTCCAATAAAAAAAGAATCATCAAATCGGTTCATAAATTTTGTTATTGCGTAACATTCATACAAAAATAAAAAAACATATGGTCGAATTGAAAACATCCTCCTTTTTTGAAGTCGGTTAGAAAAAATGATCAACGGCCTGCAAAAACTATAATATGTGGAGGGAATATTTGTGCATTTTTATCAGTTTTTGATGGCAGATAAAAATTTGCTCTAATTCGACTGAAAATCGCCGTCTGTGGTTTGCTTGTTTGATAATAATTTGCAAAAAATATTAATAATTTTTCAATATTATTTTTCAACATGGCTGCCATACAACTGCTTCTGTGGCCGAACGTTTACCATGCTGGCCTGACACGCAGAGAAATATTTGTATAGCCTACATTTATTTCACCCGTGAGTTTGAGTGTAATTTGCGGTTGTCTATGTGTGTGTCCATGGCACCCGCGATACAGGGTTTCCCTAGTGCGGGGCTATTTAAAAACAAAAATAAATACAAGCTTTTTTTGGCAGCAGAAAAAAATGTTCTAATCCAACTGAAAATCGGCACACTTAGTTTAATAATTTCTTCTAGAAATAGAAACCATTTGTTGCAACATCAAATTATAAGAAAAAAAACATAAAAGTAATAAAATTAAAAACAAAGACACAAAAAACAGCATGCTAACATTTCAACTAAATAACAAATTTTATTATATAACTTAATACTATACTGACATGTGTGCGGCTGTGGCGTATACAATAGGATTTTATTCAGCTAAAGTCACAGCCGAGAATGTGCTGTGACGCTGGTTTTTAATGGACCCTGGCGAGTGAGTGACGGACGTGTGCGTCGCGAAATGAAATAAAATGCTACGTAAATACTTACTTATGTATATCGTGTTATTGCAGTGTGTGCTCTTAAATTAAATAAATAATTACATAATCCTAGCAATATATACATATAGGTATATGTTAGAAGTGTGTGTAATGTAAAAGTAAATAGTTATTAATCTATTATTATTAATACAAATTTAAAGTATATTCCACTAAAAATATTAAACAAGTTTAACTATCCAATTCGTAAAAAGAATTCTACTTCACTTCAACATTTACCAACTATTCTTGTGCAGTTACTATTTTCCTTCTATTTTCAATAATGTGTGAAATTACGTTTCCCACAATTATTAAATTTAATAAAAATATGTAATTAAACAACGTAACATTGTTATACACACAATTTCATTATCTCATTTTAAGTAATTCGCATTCTATAATAAAAAAAAACATCTATGCCTTTCTGCCAGAAAGATTTTTGTCTCTTAAACATTTTAAGTAACTCTAATTCATTGTTACCAAATTCAATATACCGATCGCCACCATATTATTTATTCTGCATGCACTGTTTCCGTTTTACGATTTCATAGAGCGCGGCATACCTGGATCTGGAGATGATGGCGAGCGTGCCCCATTATTTAGTATACGTTGTTGTATCGCGGCGAACTCATGCGGGAATCTGTCTTGTAGGTCTCTAGCACGACAGGGCGCGACTAGCGCGACATATTGCTATTCTCGCATACAAAGCGCGAAAGCGACATAAATGTCGCTCTCGTGCAAGTCGCATCTTGTCGTGCTAGCCCTTGAATTTGAAGTCGACACGGGCTCCACCGTTACAATATCTGACAAAGTTTGCAAATCATATTTTCCTCACAAGAAAATAAAAAAAAAATTCAATTTTGCAAACCTACAGTGGTAGTGAAATTGACACTTTAGGCACTCGCATCCTGCCCTATGCGATGGAGGTCGGTCGTCGTTAGGAATTTTGGCCAAGCATTGGTGTTCGGACCAGCTCTCAAGGAACTTGGAAACAGAAGCAATCTAAACGATGCATTAAAAATATTTGGCTATTAATTTATTAAACAATGTTTAATTTACAATTGCTGGCTTTATACAATAGATTTTGAATTAAGCATACAGCGACGAGCAGAGCATGCGAAACTTTGCATACTTGTACATATTTTTTGCCGTAGAGAAGATAGGTGTTTTATTCAGGGTAAACTTTCGCCTTGATGTTTTGTTGTCGCTGTATGCTTAGTTCAAAATCGTATTATTCTATAACACTGCGTAATTTATTGTATAAAGGCAGCAATTTAGTCTCTACTTCTGCCTTTTTACTGTTATCCAATAATTGATTGATTGAAATTAATACCTATAAATTATTAAAGATATAATTTACTGTGATGTCGTACTGAGTCAACGAAATTCTTTAAAACAACACTATTTTTATTATCATCAAAAACTAGCAACACCCTATACGTCAGGAATAGTCAACACACACTAAACCAATTGATACAATACGTCCAAAACGTCCAGTTTCGTCAGTAAAGGTCCAGAAAATGAAATGAAGAAAGCTTAAAATCCTGGCAGTTTGGCTGATTAGACGCCTTAACCTGTCCCGAAGGACGAGAAATTATCCTACCAGTAAACGTCAATTTAATATGTCTAATTTAAATCCGACTATAGAAAAATGTACAAAATTGAGCGTGAATTTTTGAGTTTATTGCTCTCTAAAATTGTTTAGCACGTCCCGAAAACGTGTAGTGTAATAAATGTTCAAGCGAGTGATTATTTTTGCAGCACGTGCTGTTTCACGAAATACCGTCTATTTCTGTGCTGGTTACGTGCATACGTTTCGATAAGTCTTGGCAGGGGCGCGTGTTTTTGCAGAATTTACTCTTTCGATATAAATCACTTGAGTTTACTATGCTGTCAAATATTTTCCGATTTTCGTAACCCATTCAAAAGGCATTCTTCGTTGACCATAACAATCGATTACCTTTGACCAAATCACGGACAAATATATTGTTCCAACTTAGACAGTCTTGAGTTACTTTGTTGTGCAAATACCACAAGAACCTTCAAATCTTGTTAAAGAACGGCAAACGGCCTCAATATAATAAATTCGCACGGCTTCGTGAAAGCCAATACGTCCGCTGCTGGACACCCGATCCTACCACCGTGACTAGAATAACACGGCTGCAGGAAACGTGTACCTACTTCGTTAGATTAATTAACTTGTTCATTTACTGTGTTACCAAAAGCCAGTCAATGGAAATAATTATACAGATAAGCATTGGTGTTACCGATTCTTCAACTTGATAGGCATCTTATGTCACAAGAACAACTTCTTTTCGGATATTTACTTTTACCTTCATACTATGTAGTACACGTCTCTGGTACTTCAAGTAAACAAGTAACACGACTTGCCCAATTAACTAGTGGGAGTTCGCGATGGAAATTCCCGGAGAAAAACTTGTCGATGCCTTAAACGGCTGACTTGGTAAGAAACCAGCTCCGAAAATGTACAATTAAAGCTGACATGTTGCAAAAACTTCACCTGCTTCTTTGTTGTTGACATAAAATTTTGGTGCCAAGCTATAATTAAAAAAATAAGTAAAGTATTTAAAAAAATAATGTGGATTATCAAGCCGTATAATATCGTGACTCAAATTGTTATTCAGCAAAGCTGCTTCCTCGCAATCTTATTCTGCCGTGTCATCTAAGTATCTGCTTCGTAGAAAGTTAAGGAAAAAAGATGTTCGTGCGTACATCCGCCATCTTAGTCAAGCTTGACGAGCAGCGTGGCCTTGGCGGTTTCCTGCATCGGTGAACAACTGAACGCTGTTGCTAAACCATAGCTTCCATCTGGTTTTTTACGCCGCAATAGCCGTTGTAAACAAAACACAAATGGAATAGTCATGAGAGATAAAATCGAGCAGCGTTGGGTGCTAGTAGCAACTGTTTCGTCATGCATTAACGTACACTACATTATTTTTATTTTGATGTAACCACATGCACGGGCAGGTGATATTTTGCAATTCTACACCAACCCAACCTGTCCTTCTAATGGAAGGGTCTTGAATTACTTTACATTTTAATAGTTGCAAACTGCCTGTAACGTGTTGTGTGTGCACTTGAGACGTATCGTCGGCATAGGTGCCTCTTTCGTACGACTCAGGTAGATAGATATCTATTCAGCTTATTCGTTCTCAGATGCAAAGCTTTCTGCCCCAATAATACCGCATTATACATAATGCGATTACGTCGATCACCTTTATCGCCGTAATTAGCATAAATATCACGAGTTGGACATTTCAGAAAATTAGCAATCTTGTTCGTGGTCATAATTTCAAGTGCATTGACGTGCGACTGATTATATTAGTAACAGTTATTAGCCACGCCATAATTATTAAGTAAAACATTGTTTTTATTTTGAAAGTGGCATAACAACCTAGCTCATCTGAATTGCAAATGGCCGCTGCGGAGATCGGGCAACGTCGCACTTCGGAACGGCAACAGCGCATAGCGTGCGTAATTTTATCAGAAGCATTATCTCGACTATCTGTTATCAACGATATTACACCCCGTACGGCTCAAAGCATATCTTCGATTCATACAATGTTTCCTTCTCTTTTATTTATGTGCGATGTTTTCTTTCATAGCACGGAAATAACAAAAAAGGCGGGATTTTGACTCTTAAGTCGGTTGAAACCACTACATTACGTAAACAATGATTTGAGACCAATGCCTTTTTAGGAAGAAAATGCTTCGGTAGTACAATGAGATTCTAAAATGACAAGTCGATTAGTCTTTATTTCCTTCTCACGGTATCTTATCTGTTTGTGCAGCGAGTCTCAAGTTTGCATTAATACTTTAAAAATATTTTGATGAATCGCCACGAGGAAGTTAGACAAGCGGGAAAACTACATTCTTACTTTACTTTTATGGTATGAGATGATACAAGATAAGCAAACTGACCACCAATATACTTAGTTATATACATATAAATAAGCAAGTCCTGTGAAATTGCAGAAAATCAAAAACCTTCAATTTCAAGATTATAGATGTAGATCCTATTATGGTGTTTGAATAGATAGATACAACTGTGGAGTTGTGTTAGTTACCTCAATAAGGACGTTTACTTGATTGGTTCCCTACTATATCCATGTACTTAGTTTTCTATGTAATAGGTATTATAACAACGTTTATAGCAGCACATCCATGTTATATTCTTTAACAACTAGCTATAAACGGTTTATGCTGCGTCGTTAAGACCATGTATCATGGCGAAAATAAAATCTAGATACTTCGTGATATTTATACTTAAGAGCCTAACTAACTCATTAAATACATTCTATCACAAAGTTATACTTTTACATCTTTATCAATATTTTGTACAAAAAAGAATTTTCCTGAAAATATGCTTAAAAATAGCTTTATAAATAATGTCGCATTTAACATTATCTCTACTGACGTTAATAAAGGTCCATATATTATTAGAATAATGTATATCAAGCGTTCCGTTCATAATTCTCGACCGAAAATGTACGTTGTAATATTGACGCGCCCGCCACCCGTCGAGCTGTGGGGAAGTTTCGCCTCCCGTTCCTACCCGCTTGGGGGTGAGGCGGGACCCCCGGGGACCTTGAAGCGAACTCTCCGGGGTAACTCGAATCAGCTGTTCTTATTGTCGAGTAATTTTATCGCCTTTCATCCAAACTGTCAATATTCCGGGTGAGGAATACATATTCGAATTTTGAATTTTTCATCATATGTCCATGGATTACTTTTTTGTTTGCTACACTTAACACACGAAGAAGTATTTTGCATAATGGCATGCCAGTACCGACCGAATGAACATTCGTGACAGTTTGTTCAAGTTATTGTACGCCTTTAACCGTACATAGCATTCTTGTGGACTGTAATGGTCTTAACAGACGAAACGTGGAATACATTTTAATTACATCTAAATTTTGTTCGAGGACTACGGCAATCGTGCAAACCCACGACTTTGTGTTAATTACAAAAATGAGAAACACGACTTTGCTAATGCAAATCGATTTTTCACTTCTAAATACGTAGCCGTATTATTTATACATCTACATTTTTACATCAAATCACGAATCTTGCTGTTGCTTAACTACGACCGACCCACGCAACGCCCTTATAATTAATAACGTCCATCTTACCACCGAATGACCTTGCGCGTCCCGAGATTGATTTTGGGACTCGCGTTGCACGCTTACACTCTCACTCCTACACAGTGTTGCCAGCTTCCACACGTGAAAATGCGGGGCAACTGAGGAACAAAAGCGAAACGTAAGACTCCGGAGTCGGCACTCAAAAGCTACAATTTGCGACTACTCAAGACTAACAGTGAATAGGCATTTGCTAAACAATGCAACATCGTCGCTTAACATCAGGTAGGATTGTGGGTGAACGTACATCTGTTGGACGTAAAAAAAGACAGTTACCATTGATAAAATTTTTTTTTTTTTTTAAATTTTAAATTATTATGTATTAGGTACTTCTTAAATAACAATCAACAATTGTGTGCGTGGCAGAACATACAAAATGTCACGTGTCGTCGCAACGAGTGTTAGGGTCGTATTCCAGAACTGTACTCAACGCTCAACTCAGGATTTGAGCAGACTTGAGTATGATTTCAAGCACTGGAAATACGACCCTAATGGCAAAGACTTGAGTATGATTTATACTGCTTTGAATCATACGCAAGTCAGGATTTGAGTATGGTTTAAAGCACTCGAAATCATACTCAAGTCCCTGCCATAAGAGTCGTATTTCCAGTGCTTGTGTTTCCAGTGCAATCCTGACTTGAGCATTGAGTAGAGTTCTAGAATATGACCCTTAGTATCCCTGAAAATCGTTAGACCAGGTCATACGTACCTTTTACTTAGTAAATCTCTAAGCTATTCATAATTTTCCGAGCACTAGTCAATTTTTCATATGAAAAATATTTATATAATCATAAGGCAAATTTAATAAGAATTGTAAATAATTTCTGCGAAGCTGTTCAGGAACAAGTGTCAGGTGGCCCCGCTGTAACGAAGTTTAACTGCTGATATAAACAAGATTGAACTGCCAGTTTTAATTTCAATGTGTGTCTTCCGCCCTGTTCCTTGGCCGGTGCGGAATATAAGCGTCACTTTGGCTCTCAATGAAGCTTTATTATGTATGATTTTATTTCTTTCAATTTTTAGTTTTGGAAAATTCTAAGCCTTTCTTTGATGCTATGTAACATCCATAGATAATAAACAAAAGTGCCGTCCACATAAACAACGCTATCCACATTTTTAGTTATGAACATATCTGGAATTAACGGAACAAGATCTATAACCCCCTATAAGAGTTTTTTTTAAATTTGTTATTTTGGTAAGCAAAATCAGCGCGATTGCCAACTTTAGGTGTCAATATCTCTAAAGTTGCCAAAATGCAAATGCGTTGCTTATAACAATGAGGGCAGTTGTTTATTACAAAAGTTAACTTAGAAATCTTACGACATTGCACAGGAGTTTAAAATATTGTGTAGGGTATTTCTGTGCGGTATGAAGCGCTAGTAGTCTTAAGAAATTGACATATAAACTTTTATTATTGCTTACAAACAATCTTAAGCATTAACAAGTAATGAGATAAAATTAAGTCTTTTAAAAATCATCTAAAACTATTACAGAGTATCTTTACATTTGGCATTGTTAAAATTAATATTACAGTTAAAATCACTCAGCTTCAGAGTGAAGTTCGATTTTTGCGAAATTCACAATGTCTGTGGCGTCAGTGCTGTGAGGGCCAATGTTTGTTTGTAACGGGTCACCTCTGATATTTGCTAATTCCTCTTCAACGATTATCGTGGCGATTCTGTACTTCAGAAGAGCTTGTCGCTCTGCGGAGAACTTCTTTACGACTTTTGCGTGACTCAGAAACAGTAAATCGATATCGTCATACTCCGCCGTACGGTTCTCCATCCCGGAGTAGGTCATCACGTTTAAGGTTTCCATTGTTCGATGTGTCTTCGATTCGTGATCTGGAGACGCCTCGCGATCGAATCGTACGCGCGGGGTATAGTTGATATATGGCTTGATCGCAGCCATGTGTCCAGCCCATGGCCAAGTGCTATAGCGTTTTAGCAAAGGTGACTTCGGTCCGGGCAATTTTGATCGCAGATATTTCAAGTAGCAGTCTTTTAAATTCTTCCAACGTCTACGCAGCTCTTCAACTGTAAAGGAAATATACAATAATTAATCAGATCGTAATACATCAATAGAGTATCGTTCAGTTGTGCCCTAACAGCAACCCACAACGAATCAATAAGTTGCAAAACTAGCGTATATATACCGAGAGAAACAAAACTTACCAGGCATCTCCATTGTTTCAGCAACTTGATCCCAAACCTTGTCAACAATTCTTCGCTTTTTCGCTTCTGGGTGTTTCGGATTGTAAAGAATTTGGTGTTGTAATACATTTTGTATGATCTCCGCTTCCAATCGCATGTTGTTTGACCGCATCATTGCCGCGATACCACGGTACTCGTGGCAGTAACGACAACACAGTCGGCGGCCTGGCGGCTGACTGATCGCAGGGAACATGCGCCGTTTGTACCGTGTGATCGCCCCTCCCACCGCGCCACCGCAGTCGCCCACCGCTCACCGCAACGAGGCGTGGCGCGCCTGCCTTTGAGGTTGAACGCTGCGGTTTGCGCTCCTAGCTCTTACGTATACAGCCGCACCGCGAACATTGTTTCATTTTACGAACATAAAGGCTGCTTTGAAATTGTATATTTTTTTAGCGTCTACATGGGGTTATAAGCAACAATGCTTATTGCATTTCGCAGTTCAAACAGAGCCTTACAGGTACCAGACACGTGAATGTAGTATTACACTATCCAGTTACAGCGAAACTATGCATTAGGTAGGTGCATAGTTATAGCTTTTAAACCAAAAACAAACAGTAGAGTAGCTGCTATCGTAGTTATCGTCGATACGTTATCTTCAAACACCTGGCACTGGCTTTACAAACGCAGAGAGATAGAAATCTCACGAACACTTTAATTGTCACGACCTTGTTCACCCACTCACTGGAAACCGTATTTATGTTACTTCTCTACAACCACATTATATATCTGGATACACAACTACTTACAGACAACTGTCCCTTTTTGAAAGTTGCATTAGAACGATTGTGTAACTGCCCTTGCATTATCACTGCATTTTGTAGTGAAAATTAAAGGATACATAGACAGGCTTTATTATCATGCTTATTTATACAAATGATATTATTTATCATAACTTACCACAATTTTATCTCATTTGGTAATCTTCTCCATATTTATTGTCGCACTCGCATTCCGCCGCAACATTCATAGCCAGATATTTCTAATCTATACTATGTACCATATGACGTCACGCCATTGTTATGTGAATGTATTGTCAGACACGTTTATTTATTCAGTCGTAATTAATCTATAGCATGTACTACATACATATTTGTACAATGTTATGTTTAATCTCATACTATGCATGTGATGCTTTGAATTGAAGTTCTATTATTTAGATTGCACGATTATTTAGACATAGGTATTTAGTTAATAAAATAAATATAGCTGACATTTTGCGTTTCTAATAAAGCCTTGTTTTATCAAATTCTAACATAAATTCAAGTTAATTTTTATGCAAGTCGCCGATTTATAACCCTTTTCAAGGATATGGTCCTTCCGTTGGATTTTATCTATTCGAGAAACGAAACAAAGGAATGATACTTATTAATAGGCAAACTATATGACGACCTCGGGCGTCTCAACAAATTACACTGTAGGCGCTGGATGAGAAGGTCCCGGATTTGATTCCCGGTAGGATTAACATGGGAATCGAAATTTTACAAATTGGTTTTAGTCTTGAATTCCATTATTCTGGTACTTGGTGTGATTCTTTTTGATTTCAGCACAAAATTATTTATTAAAACGTGGTTTAAACTAACACCAGATCGAGTCCTTAGGTTTTCGCGATTGGAACACAAGGTTATTGAAATTATTTGTCGTATTTAAATCGCGTATACTTTTTAAGTTTTTTTTTATTGAATCTCACTATGTTTGACCACCATGTTAATTATTCAATTACTTATGTGAAAAAAATTCCTTTTTCAAAAAAAAAAATCCTTCGATCGCGCCAGACGCGGGTTGCTGGTTCGAAACCAGCCGGATCTAAGGAATTTTTTTTTTAGTGTTCGATCGCCATTTTGCCTAAGCCGTGACCATCGGACATGTAAAAGGCCCGACACGTTGGTTTGTTTGAAAAACCAAAATATACGCGTTTAGATTGGAAAAATAGTTTCATATCGTATACCTAACACTAGAGCTAGATTTTGTAATGAAAAATTCTGCACCAGGATACCCAAAACGCTGGCAGAGCGTTCCCTCCGTATGTCTACGTTCTGTATCTGTTGGCAAGTTGTCAGCTATCCTTAGATACATTAAATACCTACATGCCTACGTATCTTGCGTAAGGCAAATTACAACCTCCTCACGATCCTTCGTTACCCCAGTCCATAATATGAATTCGAAAGGAATTAGTACAATAGGCCTCAAGGCAACCGCATAATTCTCAGAAACAGAATGTGTAGTTGGCGGTTGTCAGCCGGGCCGACTTCTTAGAATTCCATTTTCTGTCTAGCTCGTTAGCTAAACCACGTGTTTATAATTCATTATTATGTGTAAACGTTTCGTCGTTAATGTAGACGAATGTATTATTATTAACAATACACTTACGTATTTTTTGCGACATTCAGCCGAGTCTCAGACATTCAAAACAAATCTCAAAACTATTTGTGTTTCTTAATTATACAGGTGTGGTCATCGTACAATAGTAGCATGTGATGCCACCATGATTTTTTTCATTATGGTGGTATACCTACATCGTTTCAACACAAAATACGTCCATATTTTCTTATTACATATATCTAATATATTTTTACATAACGGTAATGTAATTGATTATCGCGCTCTCGGTATTACACTGACGCAATTTTCAAGAAACTGACAAAATAGGTATAAAAAAAACACGTATGTGGCGCCAAAGTATATTTATTCCATTTGGCTTATGTTAAGATTCTATTTGTTATATGAAAATCGGTACCTTTTCACGTAATTTTTTTCACATTTATTTTGTCATGAAACTGCTTTTTTCTGATCAAAATCGCGTATATTTGCTTTTGAAACTTGTAGTCTGGAACCTGTAGTTGTATCATAATAAATAAATACTTAGAAGTACGCAGATACTTATACAATATGCCTACACGCCGCCTCCGCCCACACACACGTACAACCGCATTACGCAGTCCAACATTTGCTAGGTTTCTGCAAATCACACAAGCCGATCCAAGGTTCGTTACTGCTCACGTTGGACCCTGGCCAATCTAGATAAACCTACTATAGATGATGCGGTACCATACCTACCTGTTCAATGTTGTTAAATACTTACGTCGTATGCTAAAAAACATAGTCATGCATTTACGTTGCAAGAGTCTAAAAACTCTTTAACACTGTTAGGAAAAATAACCTCAGAATTTTTCGACAATCTGTGCGTTTTGATAAAACACGATGATTTGTTTTGATTTTTAATATTTGCCCTTTTTCATCCTAATTTCTTTTGAGACAATTTAATTTTAACGCTTTGTGAATAAGTAATTGCGTTATGATTTTATTTTTGTGAAAAAATAATGCCAAAATTCCATATAGAAATGTTTCAAAATGGGCGTTTACCATTTGGTGAAGTCACAGCACTTGTTGAAAAACATTTCTCAGAAATTGGCATTCATATGTCGTTAACTACGGTTTTTTGCGTAAAATTTGATAGAAAGTCGATTGGATTGTTTTTTTTCTGAGCACCAATCACTCTCTTCTGACGACTATTTGATCACGGCAATGAAAGGTGCAGATATAAAAAAATAGATGATAGCACTTCACTATGTTACTTACATTATGATGAGTGGCTGAAATAAAGAGTAAATTATAAAAATCGTCTTGCCCATTTTCGAAATATTTTAAATTTATTTCTAAAGAAATATGTACTCATAACATTTTACTTTTGTTTCAGGTATTTCAACAAATATGCACTAAGTTGTGGTTAAGTGAGTATTACTAAGGTCTTGTAGCCATCTTGAAAATTGGACACTCCTTTCCTGTGCTCCGTTTAGGCACATTACTTCTTCCATCGCAGTTTTTATTTTTATATATTCTTAATTACTTTTGTTATAAATAATCATCATTTTATTTCAACGTAATTAGTTCATTAAGTTCAAGATTTTTATAAAATCATTACAATTTAAATTCACTTCGGTATTTATTACACACTTGAGTTTTGTGTAATTTACTTGAATTTTCCTACTCTTTCTATCTTGTTGTCGCGTGCAAACGGATCAGCTTCAGTGGTTTGTTATTACAATCACTTCGCACTGTCCGTTTCCACTATCGTTTGTCTTATTTAAAAAAAAATTAATCATTCTAAACAGTGTTAAAATTGACGAACCGTGCTACCCGTTCGACGGCCTGTGCGTAACTGCCGCGAAAGTCATTCAACAGGCAGCCAGGATGTGGGCGGGGCGAGCGGGACGCGGCGTCATTGGGTAACCGGCGGTAGCACAGTGATGGCGGCCAACGCATTTGGCCAATGAGCGGCGCGCGGCTCGAACGCGCGTCCGTCCGGCAACCGGTGCGACGTTGCCAGCTTTTCAGAAAAAAATACCAGATTCGACCTTCTTAGGACCCCCGGTTTTTTTTTTGTTTGGCCGCGTTATCATTCGGGAACGTATATCGTGGTCCTTATCCTCTGTGAGATGGTGCTCTCGGTTCGCAGGTGTTTAGTTTGTGTAGTGTAGTGTATTATGGTGTGGTCGACGCCATCGGGAGAGGTGTTGATAGACATCGTTGCGAGGTAACGTGAATTGTTTTCTGAGTCATGTGATACAGTGGCCCGTTTTACAGACCTCGTGGTCGCTAGTGATGACGTGTCCCCTTATCAGATACTAGTAACTGAATCGATCCCTGCTAAAAATACCAGCTTCCTGCTTCTCTAACTACGCCATACTTCAATATAAACTAGGTTCTAGGTAGGTACTTTGCTCGCCTAATGAACGTGACATACCTACTCATATTTTACTTTCTATATATATTCTTACTGTTTATAGACACATTTCCTGGTAATTTACTTCTTAAACGGGTAGGTGCCTAACAATATGAAAGACTTAAAATCGGTATTAACGTGGTACAAAACTGTAAATTAGTTTACAGCGTCAACTTCGAGATATCTTTGGTCCTAACAGCGTACCCCTAAAGTAAAGAGAAATAAATACTTTGAGGTAAGTTCTTAATAAAATGTCGCATTTATCCATATTTCGAGCCTATAAAGAACCTCAGAACGTCGTTCGTGCATCGGCACTTTTGAGTTTTTGTTATTATAAAAATTCGATTTTTTTTCTAACGAAAGAAGAATTATTAGGATCAAATCAACAAAAACGTACAGACACGTGGATGCTGTATCCGGGTATGATCATACTGAGGTCGTTTATAGTGTGTTTACCGAGTTATTGAGGTCAACATTGTTTTTTGAGCGTTTTAATTGTTGCTACCTACCTAGTTACTGATTTTAAAAATTTCAATGTCAACTTTTCGGTTGAAATAGAATTTACGACCCTCGCTATATCTATCTATAGCGTGTTCATATTATGTTTACAAATGTATAATACATTATTACCTGTACATATTTGCAA